ACTCCCAACAGAACAGACTCGGCTCGGCTAAACCCATGGAAACTACTTAGACACTCCCAACAGACTCGGCTAACCCATGGAAACTACTTAGACACTCCCAACAGACTCGGCTAACCCATGGAAACTACTTAGACACTCCCAACAGACTCGGCTAACCCATGGAAACTACTTAGACACTCCCAACAGACTCGGCTAACCCATGGAAACTACTTAGACACCCTTGTACTGATAGTACTGACTTTGTGTGATCAGTATTTACCTGGTACCTTGTACTGATAGTACTGACTTTGTGTGATCAGTATTTACCTGGTACCTTGTACTGATAGTACTGACTTTGTGTGATCAGTATTTACCTGGCAGCTGGTACCTTGTACTGATAGTACTGACTTTGAGTGATCAGTATTTACCTGACAGCTGGTACCTTGTACTGATAGTACTGACTTTGTGTGATCAGTATTTACCTGGTACCTTGTACTGATAGTACTGACTTTGTGTGATCAGTATTTACCTGGTACCTTGTACTTATAGTACTGACTTTGTGTGATCAGTATTTACCTGACAGCTGGTACCTTGTACTGATAGTACTGACTTTGAGTGATCAGTATTTACCTGGTACCTTGTACTTATAGTACTGACTTTGAGTGATCAGTATTTACCTGGTACCTTGTACTTATAGTACTGACTTTGTGTGATCAGTATTTACCTGGTACCTTGTACTGATAGTACTGACTTTGTGTGATCAGTATTTACCTGGTACCTTGTACTGATAGTACTGACTTTGTATCTGTATTTACCTGTACCTGTACTGATAGTACTGACTTTGTGTGATCAGTATTTACCTGGTACCTTGTACTGATAGTACTGACTTTGTGTGATCAGTATTTACCTGGTACCTTGTACTGATAGTACTGACTTTGTGTGATCAGTATTTACCTGGTACCTTGTACTGATAGTACTGACTTTGTGTGATCAGTATTTACCTGACAGCTGGTACCTTGTACTGATAGTACTGACTTTGTGTGATCAGTATTTACCTGGTACCTTGTACTGATAGTACTGACTTTGTGTGATCAGTATTTACCTGGTACCTTGTACTGATAGTACTGACTTTGTGTGATCAGTATTTACCTGGCAGCTGGTACCTTGTACTGATAGTACTGACTTTGTGTGATCAGTATTTACCTGGTACCTTGTACTGATAGTACTGACTTTGTGTGATCAGTATTTACCTGGCAGCTGGTACCTTGTACTGATAGTACTGACTTTGTGTGATCAGTATTTACCTGGCAGCTGGTACCTTGTACTGATAGTACTGACTTTGTGTGATCAGTATTTACCTGGCAGCTGGTACCTTGTACTGATAGTACTGACTTTGTGTGATCAGTATTTACCTGGCAGCTGGTACCTTGTACTGATAGTACCGACTTTGTGTGATCAGTATTTACCTGGTACCTTGTACTGATAGTACTGACTTTGTGTGATCAGTATTTACCTGGCAGCTGGTACCTTGTACTGGTAGTACTGACTTTGTGTGATCAGTATTTACCTGGAAGCTGGTACTTGTACTGATATTACTGACTTTGTGTGATCAGTATTTACCTGGTACCTTGTACTGATAGTACTGACTTTGAGTGATCAGTATTTACCTGGCAGCTGGTACCTTGTACTGGTAGTACTGACTTTGTGTGATCAGTATTTACCTGGAAGCTGGTACCTTGTACTGATAGTACTGACTTTGTGTGATCAGTATTTACCTGGTACCTTGTACTGATAGTACTGACTTTGTGTGATCAGTATTTACCTGACAGCTGGTACCTTGTACTGATAGTACTGACTTTGTGTGATCAGTATTTACCTGGTACCTTGTACTGATAGTACTGACTTTGTGTGATCAGTATTTACCTGGTACCTTGTACTGATAGTACTGACTTTGTGTGATCAGTATTTACCTGGTACCTTGTACTGATAGTACTGACTTTGTGTGATCAGTATTTACCTGGTACCTTGTACTGATAGTACTGACTTTGTGTGATCAGTATTTACCTGGTACCTTGTACTGATAGTACTGACTTTGTGTGATCAGTATTTACCTGGTACCTTGTACTGATAGTACTGACTTTGTGTGATCAGTATTTACCTGGCAGCTGGTACCTTGTACATAGTACTGACTTTGGTGATCAGTATTTACTTGTACTGATAGTACTGACTTTGTGTGATCAGTATTTACCTGGTACCTTGTACTGATAGTACTGACTTTGTGTGATCAGTATTTACCTGACAGCTGGTACCTTGTACTGATAGTACTGACTTTGTGTGATCAGTATTTACCTGGCAGCTGGTACCTTGTACTGATAGTACTGACTTTGTGTGATCAGTATTTACCTGGCAGCTGGTACCTTGTACTGATAGTACTGACTTTGTGTGATCAGTATTTACCTGGTACCTTGTACTGATAGTACTGACTTTGAGTGATCAGTATTTACCTGGCAGCTGGTACCTTGTACTGGTAGTACTGACTTTGTGTGATCAGTATTTACCTGGAAGCTGGTACCTTGTACTGATAGTACTGACTTTGTGTGATCAGTATTTACCTGGTACCTTGTACTGATAGTACTGACTTTGTGTGATCAGTATTTACCTGGCAGCTGGTACCTTGTACTGATAGTACTGACTTTGTGTGATCAGTATTTACCTGGTACCTTGTACTGATAGTACTGACTTTGTGTGATCAGTATTTACCTGACAGCTGGTACCTTGTACTGATAGTACTGACTTTGTGTGATCAGTATTTACCTGGTACCTTGTACTGATAGTACTGACTTTGTGTGATCAGTATTTACCTGGTACCTTGTACTGATAGTACTGACTTTGTGTGATCAGTATTTACCTGGTACCTTGTACTGATAGTACTGACTTTGTGTGATCAGTATTTACCTGACAGCTGGTACCTTGTACTGAAAGCTATGACTTTGTGTGATCAGTATTTACCTGGTACCTTGTACTGATAGTACTGACTTTGTGTGATCAGTATTTACCTGACAGCTGGTACCTTGTACTGATAGTACTGACTTTGTGTGATCAGTATTTACCTGACAGCTGGTACCTTGTACTGAAAGCTATGACTTTGTGTGATCAGTATTTACCTGGTACCTTGTACAGATAGTATTGGCTTTGTGTGATCAGTATTTACCTGACAGCTGGTACCCTGTACTGATAGTACTGACTTTGTGTGATCAGTATTTACCTGGTACCTTGTACTTATAGTACTGACTTTGTGTGATCAGTATTTACCTGACAGCTGGTACCTTGTACTGATAGTACTGACTTTGTGTGATCAGTATTTACCTGGTACCTTGTACTGATAGTACTGACTTTGTGTGATCAGTATGTGATCAGTATTTACCTGGCAGCTGGATGTCGTTGATGAATCTGAAGACACTTACTCTTTGTGTGGTACAACTGTCCTTACTTTCAATGTGCTATTTGAGGGTTTCTGTGTATTTTTTATTTTGTTCTCTCGTCTTAAGATTTTTGTGAACATGATGTCTATACATGAAATCCAACAGTTATACTAAATTGATTCCTCTTCGCCGAAAAGTGCTGCACACCAAATTTGGGCGATATCCAATCATTTGTACAGGTGTAGTAAAAACTTTATAGAATTTGCTCTATATCTCCTATTGAGCCTCAATTCTGCAACCCCAGGGGACCAAGACCCGATGTTTATAAAAAAAATTATTCGCAAAATCCAATCATTCCTTCAGGCGGAGTGAGATTTTTTAAAAATCTGCTACAAGCTTATTTCTTCTTTTGGGTGGCCACGCCCCTCCTGCCTAAGGGACTAAGACCCGCCGTTCTGCTTCCCAAATTTGGTCGAAATCTTCATAGTCATTCATAACTAGTAGCAAAAGTTTTAGACCTAGGTCAATATATGAACCAATAAATCAATTTAAAGCGTCCAATGTCTGCAACTAAGATGAAAGGTCAAATAACGTAATATAAACCTTTCCAGGGTCATATTTCAAGCTATGACTGAACTACGTCATCCATAAATAGACAAACGGTACTACGATGATATCACGTTGATACACCATGTGTTCTGCACGTACGCATCATGAAGCAAACTAATACAACTAAGCTAGCTAAGAATACACAAAACTATGGAAACACTGCCGGATCCAGAACCTCCACCAAAGATGGCCTTTAGCTCTCACTGTTTCAAATACGTAAGAGCGGACCTGAAGGGAGGGATAATGTGTCATTCATTTTCAGCACGATCTTTTTTGTAAGACAGAGGGGAAATCTATATACGAAGAGAACGAGATTTTGAAGGATAACATAGGTGTACAAATCTTATGCGCTGCTGTATACGTATTATTTTCAAAACCATATTATTTACAACACCAACCTAATTTTAACCCCCTCTTCCCTGGTTTTCGTCCCTGGATCCGTCATCCCCTCGGTTGTCTGAATGTCACTCTCTACCATACACGGAACTTCACGTCTTTACACAGAGAAATTTAAAACAAAAGAAATCCGGGGAAAGGGTAGAATCGAAGTCGGACAAGGAGGGATGCTTTTTTTATTACTCGAAGCCTGGAGATACGTATGTATACATTTAACTCATGTCAACCTTATCGTCTCACATCTATCCAGTAGAAAGTCCTCGATGTTAATACCACCGAGACATCTTTGTCAGTTCGACATATTTAACCAATGTTTGAATTCATTTTCCTCTTGTACTATTGTTTTTATGATATAAGAAAACTTTGAGCGACACTTTTTATGTGGATATGTAACAAAGGCTGAGTGAAAAAAGAATGTTCTCTAGAATCGCTTCATACCTTAATTTAGTGTATACCGAGTATTTCATACGTAAATAGTATTACTTCCATATAAATAGCCGTATCGTAATGATAGTAGTTACAACAGGTGCTGTATCGTTAACGCTGACAAAGTTTATTAATGTAACAGGTAATTTACAGGGCAATGCTGCAGCCTTATGGAGTAACTGGAGCTTGGGAAGAAGGCATATGTAAGGCCTCGTTCTTCTCCAGCACCTAGAATAAACAAGTAAGGAAACTTAGAATAACACGTACCCTAGTAATCATAGCAGCACATGCTTTGATTATGTCGCTTTTTTTCCCCATACCTAGAATTAGCGTAATTATATCAATATACTGAAACATTGTTCACAGGCTCTACAATTAAATGATTTTCAAATGACATCTTATCACAGAAACTGATGCATTGGATGGTAGTTCTATATATCACTCTTAAGTAAGAAGTTGGTCGGGGCTAAAACAGGTCGCTCACATATTTGTGATAGAAGTCGGTCGGCGATAGAAAAATGTCGGTCGGTGCTAGAAGAAGTCAGTCAGTGATAAAAGTCACTAGATGATAAACGTCAGTCTGCGATAGAAGAAGTCGGTGGTGCAAGGAGAAGTTGATAGGTGATAGAATTCTGTCGGTGATACAAGAAGTCGGTCAGCGATACAAGAAGTCGACGTGCTAGGAGAAGTCGATAGGTGATAGAATTCTGTCGGTGATACAAGAAGTCGGTCGGCGATAGAAGAAGTCGGCGTGCTAGGAGAAGTCGATAGGTGATAGAATTCTGTCGGTGATACAAGAAGTCGGTCGGCGATAGAAGAAGTCGGCGTGCTAGGAGAAGTCGATAGGTGATAGAGTCGGTGATACAAGAAGTCGGTCGGCGATGGAAGAAGTCGGCGTGCTAGGAGAAGTCGAGGTAGTTGGTATACAAGAATTGGAAGAAGTCGGCGTGCTAGGAGAAGTAGGTAGTTGGTAGAGATTCTTGTCGGTGATAAGTCGATAGGTGACAGAATTTTGGCGATAGGAAAAGTCGGCGTGCTAGAAGAAGTCGATAGGTGATAGAATTCTGTCGGTGATACAAGAAGTCGGTCGGCGATAGAAGAAGTCGGCGTGCTAGGAGAAGTAGGTAGTTGGTAGAATTCTGTCGGTGATACAAGAAGTCGGTCGGCGATAGAAGAAGTCGACGTGTTAGGAGAAATCGATAAGTGATAGAATTCTGTCGGTGATACAAGAAGTCGGTCGGCGATAGAAGAAGTCGGCGTGCTAGGAGAAGTCAATAGGTGATAGAATTCTGTCGGTGATACAAGAAGTCGGTCGGCGATAGGAAAAGTCGGCGTGCTAGAAGAAGTCGATAGGTGATAGATTATTGTCGGTGATACAAGAAGTCGGTCGGCGATAGAAGAAGTCGGCGTGCTAGGAGAAGTAGGTAGTTGGTAGAATTCTGTCGGTGATACAAGAAGTCGGTCGGCGATAGAAGAAGTCGACGTGCTAGGAGAAGTCGATAAGGGATAGAATTCTGTCGGTGATACAAGAAGTCGGTCGGCGATAGAAGAAGTCGGCGTGCTAGGAGAAGTCAATAGGTGATAGAATTCTGTCGGTGATACAAGAAGATGGCCGTATTAGAAGCATTAAAGAATTGTATCCGCACTAATAAGCTACTTACATGTATCCAGTGATCTACAAACTCACTAATAACCACCATACCATCTTCTGTAAAAGTGATTGATAAAGAACCTACTGAGACTGTGTTGTTACACAGGTATAGGTCATCACTATTACAAATCAAAGTTCTACTGTTTATCCCGAGTTCACGTCAGTATTACATATAAAGGTTTCTGAACATCTCGAAATCTTGCCAATATTACAGATTACGTGGTATATATGTACTATCAACCATTAAAGCTCTTCTGACCATGTCGAAGTAATGCTGTATTACAAATCCTGGTTATTTTGATTTCCATGAACTTTGAACTATATCGAAATTGTTACATCATTTAAGACCCTAATTTGTAAATATCGAGAAAGTAACTTATCCACAAAAAACATTTGGGATAGAAAATTATGACAACAATATGAAAAACAATCCTGCTTACGATTTGCGTCCATTTCACTGTAATATAAATCGAAGTCGACATCATCCACGAACCCGTCGGGCGGAGGTGCACAGTCGTAGTCTTCAAACAGGATCACAGCGAAGTCGTACAGTGGCTGAGATATGAAGTGCAGGTACTCATGGCGGGCGACGCGCCCGTCGTCTGTGCAGATAAAACTTGGTCTTGAACTTAACGACATTTTATCAGTTACAAAATACATTGGTATATATAACATTATTTTTACTTTTTCAAATACATTCCAGTGAAATGGTACCCTTGTGGAGTTAGGACAAAGTATTTTATATATAACGCCTATTGTTTTAATTATAAATCTAGCCGGGAGAAATTTATATCCAACAAGATATATACAAACAAAACTGTTTCGTCCTTGGGCGTATCACATCTCTTCCATCTGCTGAATATAAGTTCTTGGAAAGGGTGTTTAAATCTTAGCCTATATTACAGCCTTTCCTTATGATATGTACTACTCTTTATGTAATATAAGTCGTGACCTTACGGTTGACATCGTAGTTACGGAAGACGTCGTTGAGTTCGCTGCGATCGAATTGCCCATTTCCATTATAATCAGAACTGTAGAAAAGGTTCAGGGCCGTTACATTATAGGGCCGGAAATCTATAGGGTCCCTGAAACCGAAACAAATAGGACTTTTACAACCCTGTTTAGTTTAGGAGAGTTCTGCTATAACTAAGATAAACTACTTATTTAAAGTACGTTTTGGGGCACCGAAGGGTCAAGGAAAATCACATCAAAAATGAACTCAAACAGCTAAAATAATACTATTTCTGTTTTGAAAACACATATATTAAACAAGACTTCTCAGTCGACATTCAAAGATCGTTGAAAATGATTTTATGAAACAGTGGATTAAGTCAGGAGTTTTTGTTATGTGTTTCTTTTTTTATCTAATAAAGGTGTTTTGTTTTCTCGATAGTGTCCTTTCTAACTAATATGTTGAGTTTAAATTGAATACAATAACATAAAATGCATTTTCACAATATATTTTCGTTCGGTTTTAGTTGTTTACCAATTACCAACGTGTCATATAATGTTCTGCCTATTGCCGATGTCTATGCGCTGATTGTACATACAAGGCATTAACAGGTAACAATGCAACTTGGCATAAATATTGGTTATATGCTGATGTTTAACTTGTAACAGAAAGTTTCAGGCTTGTCCAACGATGCTATTTCACTTTTAAAAAATACACACTTATATTTTGTGTTTTGGGAAATGAGGCCTGAAGTGCATACCCTTGCCTAACACCAAATTGTCCTTTCAATACCAGCCTACATTAAGGTATGAGACTCCAACAGTCTCAGAGAAGTGTTTATAGCAGTTAGAGATGTGCATAACATGCCACATTGGCAAAATGCCAGATATTTCATGCTTTGAAAACTTCTAAAGAGCCTAAGTTGTTCATTCAAGTGAATACTTAAAAGTAACAATAGATATTTAGTGGCTTACGTCATAAGGCAAAGTTGGGGCCTCTTTGATTCAACATAACATTTTCAGTCCACAAAGTTTCTCTTTGTAGAAGAATCAGCTGGAATTCCTTTCGTCTATACAGAAAACGATTCTTTCGTATTCGTTTGTGTGTAAGTATGTAAGTTTACAATCGGACCTGGAAGTGAAAGGTTACCCAAATCTATTATGAAATTTTCTTTTCAATCCCTGTCCAGATGGTCATATCCATCTTCTATATAGATTTGAGTTCCGTTTGACAGGAATGATTCACGGAAAAAGATATCTATTTCGTCGAATTTAATTATTTTTGGATATGAAGGGTAACATAACTTGACGAAGGACTCGACCCATCTCCTAGGGTAACACCAGAACAGTCTATATCCGATCGATTGAATGGTTTTCAAACACCAGGCATATGACTATATATATATTTCCCCCGCTGCGTCTCATTACAACAGTACCTATACTAGGCGGCCAGTGTATTTGTGAGCCTATAATTGCAACTGGTTCCGCTATGTTGTTGCTTTATGATAATTTAATGCAATTTTATTTTCTGAATATGATTATAATTCATATAATTACAAGTTGTGACTCTGGTCATGAGACCGTAGGATTTGCATTTATATCGACTATTAAAACATTAAGAAAACACTTCGATGTCGAAGACATATGATTAGTGAATAGTGACTTCCAATACAGATAGGTACTCCATCATATATCTGTTTTGCCAGTGAGGCTAAAGGCCTGAATTTAAAAACTTGGGAGGCAACCTAAGAAATTCAAAATTAATCAAAGGAAACCTCAAAATCTGGACAGGGAGGTGCACATCCGCAGAGTCTAATAACTCGTAACACCGTGCTGCTATTCAAATGATTGAAGACGTGTCATGCAGGTTACGGCAAACCTTGGAATTGTAGGTCCATTTTTCTATGACATCCAATAGTTACTCATATAAACGATCCGTTGATTATCTTTTGGGACATAAATATTGATGACAAAGGGACAAGTTACAATGGAGACTACATAATGTTATATTATCTGCCTTGTGGATAGATATATCATAACATCCAATTCTCAAGTTTATTTCATCGGACGGAAGAGCGATGTTCCGAGCTCTTCGTCTGTACCGAGGACTCCATCTCCGTTACGAGCTGATGACCTTGGCTCTAATGAGGACGTGTGAACGTAAACCAATCCACGTATAGGGTCATTTAGTGTGAAGTGTAAACTTCCGTATACATGTGTTAAAGTATTACTGGGGGAACGTTTTCACCAGAAAACTATACCAGTTAGGGCATATCACTCAATGCGTCATGACTTTGGATAATGATATAATCAAATTCTGACATCATTCAATTAAATATGACATGAGTTTGATACAGATATGAGTGTTTTTCGGGTTTCATAAATGCATCGTTGACTTCCTGGTCATTTTACCTCTGAATTCGTGGCGACTACAGTTTCCTTTCCAAATTCGACACTCATGATATCGACGTCACGCTCCAATATAGTGATGTTTATCAGAAACTAGTAGATAATGATTTCGGACAGACAAACTGACAAAACAAGAATCCAAAATATGTGTACCTATCTCTGGTTTCGCTGCTACTACCTCTATTGTGATCTTAGTTACTACATAGAATACAACCGTGGAACATCTAGACCTATAAAACCTGTGAAATATCAGTCTCGATGTACACTGTACATGTTTAGAATTAAGCTACCAATTCCTGCTGAATATGATGACACCACCACTATAACGATCGGGTGATGCAATGAATAGGCGATATCACTGTATTATAGTGATACATGTTTTATCACGGATAATTGTCGATATTACCCTGAGATATCACTAATTATGATGCTATCAAATACTTTTAGTGATATCACTTCAAAATGGAATAAATATAAGTATTGAACTATCTGGTTATGACATTTATGATCGATATAAATGACAGTGTTTTGCGAGCAAATGTACCATTTATACGACCATGATCAGTAACTGGTTTTCGCCACTGATAATAGACACAGCGGCTTTTGTTATGTACCGTGTGAAAGAACCAATGATTACATAGGTATTTCAGATTTTACACGACTGAGAAGACATGGTCAGTGACATAAAATGTAAGCTGTATTTCGGCGAGAAAGAAAAGAAAGACAAAAGTAGCGAGCCTTTGATGAGCGAGTTTTGTTTTCCCGTCACGTGCCAAAATGCAACTTACATTTACATGTACACAGGAATCGATTGGTGGACATTTGCAACGGGCGACTTTCATTGCAGTGAGTAGAACTAAAAAACCTGCTGTGGTTGGTCAAAACTACAAAAAGTATAGCATTACTTGAAAAGTTATATATAAACATTCAGTAGCTATGATTTCTTGTATTACTGTAGTGGTGATGTCAGTGTTCATCAAATTGATATATTCCTATATCTATTTATAATTCACAAGCAAAAACTGTAATAAAATGTTTTTTCTACAGCCTGAATATTTCAGACTTTGTTTATAGAAAGCGACAACTGATTATTTTACTTACTGTGCCAGAGTTATGCCTATCATGCATACAAAAACAATGCATGACTTCATTGTGGAACTTGAGGTGACCAGTTCACGCAGGAGTCAGTAGTTTGTGTGAATAGAACCACGTGTCGAATCTTATCTCATCGTGGTGATATATGTCTGGTTGGAAGCTGTGCAGTGGTAAACCTTCCAGTGCGACTTTGATTATTACAATAGGCAAAATAAGGAGAGCATTTCTTAGACACCTCATTTTGGTGTCACGATTTTGAGATATGAAAATGAAAGACTTAGCCGCCACACTTTGAGAACGCAAACAATGTCTCTCTTATATGTCGTGTAATCAGCTGATAGTGTGCCTCAGGAAATAGCCAAAACCTGCTGATTCAAGTTCTAAATCAAGTAAATCATATTTGAAATGTTGTGATTCATGTTGGTAACAAATTTGGGTGTGTTCAGAAATTACTTGTTCAAGTTCATTTTAAGTGTTTATTTTATTGATAATTAATCCTTGAACTCCAATTATCCAACTCCACAACGCGTAAGAATACAGAAAAGTTCATCTACATTAACACTGCAAGTCTGTTTTAACGCCAAACGATCGTCGTGGAGACGACGGATTTTCTACTTTTGAAACGCGTGACAGTAAGTAGATAAGGAATCCTATTTGAGAGTCCATGTGTTACGGAATTGATTAAATGAGTTATATGAGCAAATTATTTAACGAGTTTAATTAAATACATATTATATCGAAACGAGTTTAAGATTTTATTTATCATATAATCAGTATTTCTGAAAAATCGGTGAAAATTTGAAAAAAATTCCCAAAACAAACATATGACGCCATCAAAATTGTTCGTGACTTATTTATGATGTCACAATAGTGTTATTAAACATATGTATCTAACGATGTCTATGACATGACCGTACATGTATGACAAGGTACAACAGGCCGATTATGTGATAAGTGATTGTAACTGAAGTAGACAAATTATATTTGTACACATAACACTTTAATGTCAACATATTTAGCCATTCAAAAAATTCGATTTTGACCACAATTTCGCCTCGTCAGCACTGGTCACGTTCTTGTTCGATCTGTTGTCTCGGTTGTCGCAATCTCCTGAAGTCGCTGAGGGGAGTGGCTTAACAGTTTACATGATTAAACTATAGATAGCAAGATTTACAATACCAAATCACAGGATTTACACTACAGTCCACAAGATTTACAAAACAAACTGCAAACAAATGCAAATATGAATATAAGTCATTTTTTTTAAAATACGTGAGGTCTTTTATTAAGTATAAGTCAGCAAATGATCTATGCCTTCTGTCCAATTACTTTTAAATCCTTTTCATTTAATGTAATATTCATGAAATGAAAAAAGAGATTAACACACACACCCTCACCCACACATACACACATACATCCCCAAAAAGGATGCTTAGCAGTTGCATTTTATATATATGTACATATATTCATGGATTGAATTTATCTTTATCATTGGTCAATGGTAATCATTATACAAAGATACAGTTTTCCGTGATAAGTATTGTATAGATCTCTCGTTCATTTGCTATAGACACCTCTATAACCTATAGACACCTCTATAACCTATAGACACCTCTATAACCTAAAGACACCTCTAAAACCTATAGACACCTCTATAACCTATAGACACCTCTATAACCTAAAGACACCTCTAAAACCTATAGACACGTCTATAACCTAAAGACACCTCTATAACATAAAGACACCTCTATAACCTATAGACACCTCTATAACCTAAAGACACCTCTATAACATAAAGACACCTCTATAACCTATAGACACCTCTATAACCTCTGTACAACCTAAAGACACCTCTATATCCTATAGACACCTCTATAGACACCTCTATATCCTATAGACACCTCTATAACCTCTCTATAATCTATAGACACCTTTATAACCTAAAGACACCTCTATAACCTATAGACACCTCTATAACCTATAGACACCTCTATATCCTATAGACACCTCTATAACCTATAGACACCTCTATAACCTAAAGACACCTCTATAACCTATAGACACCTCTATAACCTAAAGACACCTCTATAACCTATAGACACCTCTATATCCTATAGACACCTCTATAACCTATAGACACCTCTATATCCTATAGACACCTCTATAACCTACAGACACCTCTATATCCTATAGACACCTCTATAACAAACTACATTAGTATGAACAAATCAGTGTTACTTAGTTGATGCTGTAATCTGTCCAGGACGCGATAACTCTCTTGCACTGTAGAGTAAGAAAGACTGGGGAAATTCAAAGGCCATTTGTGCTATATTTATACGTGTAGAGTAAGAAAGACTGAGGAAATTCAAAGGCCATTTGTGCTATATTTATACGTGTAGAGTAAGAAAGACTGGGGAAATTCAAAAGCTATTTGCGCTATATAGATAGTCATTTATACATACCCAGTACTACAATATACCACTACAGTGTTAGCCTAATTATTTCTAAACTATTTACCACTCATGAAAGTAAGTAAAGGTTCAACTATACAATTATACTATCAGTATTATGAGGACTGCTGTTGAATTCCTATCAATGATATATATTAAAACAAGCAAACACAAACAAGTAACGTGATTTCCCGAAATAAGAATATATGGAAATTCGTAAACAATTATACACAAAAATCAGCACAACTTTTCTTTGAGTCGCCTGTAAACACCAGCAAAGAATTTACGAAGTCTGCTGTCAAAAAGTCCATACAGTAGAGGATTGAGAGCTGACCTCAGATATAGTGACCGAACTCCGATGTGGACCAAAACTGTCTGGTCACCAAACCTTTCACCATATAAAACCATCGGCAATGCTACAGAAAACGGAATCACAGACAGGAAGTATGTTACAGAGATGAGCGTGCCTACACGCAATATGTCGTCATGGCGCTGCTTTCGTTGCTGTTGCTGTTTAGTACGGAGAGTCACCTTGGTCAGAGTATTTATTTCGTTGATATTCCCAAAGGACCGAGTTCGTCTCGCATAGGATGGTGCAACTTTTAATGTAGAAAGCAGTTCTTGGGATCTTGGCCGATATGTTTGTGCTTTCGCCGCTTGGCTGTGGTAATCTTGGGACACCGTTTTACTTCTCATCAACGTTTTTGTCTCTGGCATGTCTGAGTAGTTCACACAAAGTGGTTGGTTATGTGTCTGTAAAACCTTGTTAACACTTCCACCATAATCTTTTAGGTCTCTCGAAATATTGATTTTATCCCGCGTGGTTGGAATGCTTTGAAGTTGTACGTTTTTATCATGAGTCTCATATTTGACCTTTTCAGTCATTTCATATTTAGATGTAGAAAATGATGGCGGAAAGAAAGACATTGAACTCATCGGTGTAGGTGAATTTAAATTCCGGGTATCTTTTCTGTGAATATGTACCCCGATAGCGGCATAGAGCGAAACAGTCACTATCGTTAGCAAACAAATTATACTAATCCATACGAAAGCCAAAGCTTTCACTTCCTTTAAATCCTTTCGTTCATCGTCAAAACCACATGCTACCAATGGTGAGGAATTAAAAGTTTGAACGGATTCTTTGCCGGTTACCATAATAAGCGGTACATGTATTACCATGGATCCAATCACAACGGCACCAAATACAAATCTGGCTACAGCGGGGGACATGTGTCGACCTAGTGGCGCCAAGATTTTACGGTATCGATGAACAGCGATGATCAGCGCCATCACCATGCTTGACGTGATGAGTACACTCTTGGTGTACTGCTGAACTATACAGCCAACGTCGTTCACCAAGGTAAATGGGTACTGTTGTTGTAGAACATCCATGGGCATGATTACCGAACACGTCACTATATCTAGTACACACATATACAACAGAAGTTCGTAATACACTATGGCACCACACCGGTACGTGGTTTTCATATAGATATAAGTCAACAAAAATAAAGCATTTGCAGAAAATCCAAAGAGTATCTGCACGGTGACAAAGATAACTCCGTATATAGGACCAGGTGCCGCCTTATCAGCATATATTTCTGTAATCGAATTGTTGTCATTCATCGTCGGATGATTTGATGATGTGTTAGCTCCAAAGACACGCCGGACTAAAAGCTATACTTTGCAAACTCTAACTGAACATCCTTTCTGTGAATACGTTACTCCCTGTATTGAACTTGCTGGTAACTGCCTAAATGACGAGCATTCAGTGACCGTGGCTTATGTGCAAATGGAAGATGAACTGTTAAGTGGATGAAGTGTTCGTTGCCGTTGCCGGCCTTCCCATTGTGTAGTGTATCTAACCTTTCATGTGATCTATAGAATAGTATTTCCTGTTCTCATATTAATACGAAATTAACATCACGTGATGTGAATTATTATTTGTCATCGAAACTGACTACAAAGTTTTAATGAACACTCTCCATGTCGACGCGTCAAGTAACATAAGAATATAGAGTAATTAGGTGCAGAAGTGCACAATACAACAGAACATTTCATTAAATCTAGATATTTACACTGCGCCGAAAATCTAAGATTAAAAGAACAACGGATAGCAACAGACACAGAGGTGACATCAAAACAAACATAAATAACAGACAACAACAGACACAGAGGTGACATCAAAACAAACATAAATAACAGACAACAACAGACACAGAGGTGACATCAAAACAAATGTAAATAACAGACAACATCAGACACAGAGGTGACATCAAAACAAATATAAATAACAGACAACAACAGACACAGAGGTGACATCAAAACAAATATAAATAACAGACAACAACAGACACAGAGGTGACACCAACACAAATATAAATAACAGACACAGAGGTGACATCAACAACAAATATAAAACAAATATACAGACAACAACAGACACAGAGGTGACATCAAAACAAATATAAATAACAGACAACAAACACAAATATAGACACAGAGGTGACATCAAAACAAATATAAATAACAGACAACAACAGACACAGAGGTGACATCAAAACAAATATAAATAACAGACAACAACAGACACAGAAGTGTCATCA